ATACAGCATTAGGCTCATGGAAGAAGAGAAGAATCCCATATTCTTTGGAATTCGACTGCCTCCTCTCTCTCTCTCTTCCTCGGAGTAGTTCTATTTCTTGTGCTCCACTGATACAAGATCTAGATAGCTGTTTGAGAATACAGTAGAAGATCTTAAGGTTTATACGGGATTCCAATCAGATCGATCATACATCCAAACCGGAGACCAAAACTAGCAAGCGACCATACCACGACGACCAGGACGACCAGACGAAGAGATCGCCGTCGAGATCGCTGCCAGCCGCCGCCGCACGCGCCCGCACACACCGCCGGAAGGTTGCAGTTGCTGGAGACTAATCGAGCGCGTGAGAGCGCGTGACACCTTCGATTTCCGATCGGTCAACGCCGTTGACTTCGCCGTGACGTCAGCTTTCTGGATTGGTCATGTTTGTTCGATTCCGAGAAGATTTGATTTGCGGTCAACTGTTCGGGCCAGCCAGATCTACATAAATTTTAAGCAGTAAGTTTTCTTCATCAAACTTTTAGATCCCTGCGCATAGGTTTATGTTGAATGTTTGTCCGTGATTTGTGCATATCGAGATCCTCATATGTCTTAACACACTTTATATGAAGGCTGCCATTAATGAACCATAACTACCAAACTTAAATACTAGTTCGTCGTGTGTTGTTTGTTGCATATAGTTGCCATTATTGACCCATAACTACCCGACTTAAATAATGATGCTACGTTAGTTGTCTATTGTTGCTAGGTTAGTTATCTGCTATTGCTAGGGTAGTAGACTGTTGTTGCCAGGTTAATTATATATATTTTTTATGTTAATTTTTATCAAGTTGCAATGATAGGTGTATTTTCTTGCTAGGTTAGTGGTCTATGAGTCTAGGTTAGTAGTCTGCTGTGTCTAGGTTAGTTGTCTGTTAGTGCTAGGTTAGTAGTTGTTGTTGCTAGGTTAGTTTTATCCAGCGGCTACGATACTTATCTATATCTGCTAGAGTAGTTATATATCTCTGCTAGGTTAGTTTTATCAAGTTGCAATGATAGTTGTGTGTTGTTGCTCGGTTAGGTCTCTGTTATTGCTAGGTTAGGTCTCTGTTCTTGCTTGATTAGTTATCTTATGTTGATAGGTTTGCTAGGTTAGTTATATATCTCTGGAAAGGTTAGTTTCATCATGTTTGCAATGTTAGCTGTATATTGGTGCTAGGTTAGTTGTCAGTTAGTGCAAGGTTAGTTCCATCAAGTTGCAACGTTAGCTGTATATTGGTGCTAGGTTAGTTGTCAGTTAGTGCAATGTTAGTAGTCTGTTGTTGCTTGGTTAGTTCAATGTAGATGCTATGTTTCTGGAACAATACTATGCAGTAGCAACACATCAAAATTCATATAGAACTATTTATTACAAGCAGATATGTCACTAGTCTTATTACAAGTTCTACTATTATGATTTCCCACTTCTCCACATTTTCCACGTCTTTTCAGCTTTTGACTTTCTTTAATGGATTTTTTCTTTGTGAAAGCAGACGGCTTTTTGTGGTGCTTCCACTCCTCTTGTTCTTTGCTTGCTTTGGTGGAAGAATATCGACATCAAGATTCGAAACGGATCCACAGAATTCTTGTATCACAGCTTCTTTACTTAGGATTGAACTTGAAACTTGATGTGCCCCCAACAAATGGTTCTTTTCTTCATTTATAATCCTCGATAGTCGTTCTAATTTATCCATGTTGCCTTCAGCAAGACTTATGCAACAATAAAAATCAGACCACAGACTGTTTAGATATGCATTTCTCTGATTTTTTCCGTCGAGTGGATTAAGTTTTGCGTTATCAATCCCATGTCCAGAAGAAGCAACCTTCAGCCAACGGTTGAGGAGGTACTTCTCTGGTATTCTCTCTAAATCCTTCACTAGCATTATTGTGTGACGACACAACAATCCAAACTGTTGAAACATTTTGCAGCTGCAATCCACCAAATCCCCACACTTATTAACAATGAATTCGACCCCGTCTCGACCAACTTCTACAACCTTATATCTAGTTGATTCATCCTCCTTTTCAATATGCACAGTCACACATCTAAAACATGCTGCTTCAATCTCCATTTGCACCTCCGAAAACACTGTTTTCGTGTAAGCTTTTGTAGCATGTTTTTCAATTTGTAACGGTGTCTTGCACTCAGGAGGTGCATTCACACATTCATGATCCAGCTTGCTTATAACATGCCTTTGTGCATCCATTGCACTTTCAGATTTGTAACTTCCGAACCAACTATTAACACGTTCAGACCTAGAAGTTGTTTTTAGTAGGCCACCCATTTTGACATCCTCTAAGTATGCGGGTATCCATGATTTTCTAAACTAAAATAGTGTGGTAAACCATTGATTCTCTGTTAATGCAAAATCATTCATCAATTTTCCCCATTTTTCTTCAAATTCCTCAGGATTTATGTAAATATCCCACACCATTTCATGTAGCCTCTTCGTGAAGTTATTATCCTTGGCTAATGTAAGAACCTTTACATTTACCTTTTCCATGATATGCCACATGCACAAACGATATCTTGCCTGTTTGAAAGTCGCCCGAACTGCATTCTTCATAGCAGGATCTTGGTCAGTGATAATGTAATATGGTTCACTTCCCATAGCTTTCAAAAAAAATTTCAATAACCAAATGTATGATGCTTCATCTGTTGGAACCCATGAGGATCTCAATATGCACAAATCACGGACAAACATTCAACATAAACCTATGCGCAGCGGATCTAAAGGTTTGATGAAGAAAACTTACTGCTTAAAAT